TCAGCTTTCCTGCTCCACTGATGCTGCCTGGCCTGCTGTGTTCATCCAGCTCTATACCTTGTTATCTCAGATTCTCCAGCATCGGCAGTTCCTACTATCTCTGGTTCACTAATGTCCTTTAGGGAAGGAAATCTGCCGTCCTTACCTGGTCTGGCCTACATGTGACTCCAGACCCACAGCAATGTGGTTGGCTCTGGACAATTAGGATGCACTGTCCTGGATAGTGATGACTGCATCCCATGAATGAACGAATGAATAAAAGTGTTTTTCAGGCTAGGTTAGGACAGGAGACTTCCTTCCCTCAAAGACAAAGTACAAAGACATTAGTGAACGAGATGGGTTTTGTACAACAATCGATAATAGTTGTCGTGGTCACTATTACTAAGACTAGCTTTCAAGCCCAGATTCATTAATCAAATTTAAATTCAACTGCCTGTGATTGGATGATGAATGAAGAAAACATTAGGAAAAGATTAATTGAACTCATTGAGAGATTATCAATAACCGAGTTCACTGCATGATGGGAGAATTGAGAGAGAATAGTCAGGAAAATTTCAAGTGTGTAATGTGCAGAATGTGTTGAGGAAGGAGGATCGTCTCTGGAGAATATGATAGATTTCTATGATTCCATGGCATTGAATTGCCTCTTACTAGTCACAGAATTAAGTAATGCAATCTATAAGGCAATCGGTAATGTTAAAGGTCTCCAGTGAAAGGATTCTGATGATGAAAATTTACCAGCAATATATTTCTGACCATCGGACTTTCATGCTGAATTTCACTGATTTCACAGATTGATCACAGGTTTACGATTTCTGTCAGTAATCAGCACCAGCTTTCCCTTGGATTCCCAGCTCTGCAAGGCCTGCCTGTATTGGCTCTATGAACTACACAAATCTTTTCCTGTTTTCACTGTGCCCCAATCCTCATTTGGTCTGTAACAACTCATGGGTATGTTCCTGCCTACAACATACAGAACCAGCTGACAGAGCTGGGAATACCCAGGGACAAGACAAACACTGTTGGGAAAGGGGAGGTCAATAATGGAGCACAGCCAAGAAAGTGGACCTGAGTCCATAAGCAGATCAGCCTTGATCTTATTGAATGTTGGACCAGGCCCAAGGGGCCAAATGGCTTACACCTGCTCCTGAAGGGTGAGGAAGTGAAGGGAAATTCCTGGGATTTCCTAAGGTAACAGCACAGGATTAGCATGCAAATTAGTTGAGCAGGGTATGCCAGCATCTTTCAGATGGCTTTGGTTTTTTTTAATTCATTCACAGGATGAGGGTATTGCTGGCTATGCCAGCATTTATTACCCATTCCTAATTGCCCAGAGGGCAGTTAAGAACCGACCACATGCAGATTTCCTTCCCTAAAGGACGTTAGTGAACCAGATAGGTTTTTCCCTGACAATCATTGTTAGACTCTTAATTCTAGATTTTTTTTATTGAATTCAAATCCCACCATCTCCCATAGTGGGATTCAAACCCAAGTCCCCAGAACATTAGCTGGGTCTCTGGATTAGCAATCCAGCAGTAATACCACTAGGCCATCACCTCCCCTGTTTGCTGGGTGCTAAACTGGAGCAATGCCCAAGAAACTTTGGTTTTGTGCCCAGCTCCACTCAGATCGCGGCATCTGATGACGAGCATGCTCCAAGAAAGTGGAGCTAGGGTAACAACTTTATTTTTGTAGTATCTTAAACCAGCTTTTGGGCTGGAGGCTTTCTGTTTGGAGCTTTTGGACAGTGGCCAGGAACCCAACAGTTGGTAACCATTAGACAAGACCCCTCAGACCTGTAGGATTGTTTAGAGTTCCTTCGTTATTTCAGGTGCAAACTCATGCTAAGAAGCAGGCAGATTTGAAAGACCTGAAGCCACAGATAGAGTGGCTTCAGGTCGGCTCAGGGGTGTTCTGTTTGACTTATGTCAAAATTGAAAGAGCGATGAGGAAGGGAACATTGACCACCTGAAATATTGCACTAGTTCATTGAAAGTGCCCAATCAGCTGTTGTCGTTTCTAAGAATGAATTGTATCAAAAGCATGTGTGGCTCAACAAAAAGATTATAAAAATTATCTTTAGATATCAAGCCAAAGTCTGCACAACATAAAAGCCAACTTCCAGGAGCCAGTGCGATTTTTTTTAGTTACAGTAAATGGTATTCAGTAAAATGGTGTAGTCGGGCTTGGAATCAAGCAGTAACACCTGGAAACAAAGAAAGGGAGGATTGATTCAGCCTTGGAGTCTGATGCTCACCTTCTGTTTCGCAGGGAGAGTCTGCAAATTAACCCAGCAGAGATTTCTATTGTGATACAAAACTGTAACTTTATAAAGAATATAGGGAAATTCCCAAGAAAATTCTTAATCAAAAGAATGGTGAGAATGCAGAACTCACTGCCATAGAGAGTAGTTGAAGTGGATAGTACAGATGCATTGGTGTGGAACGAGACAATCATGTGAGGGAAAAGGAAATGGATGGTTGCTTGGATGGATTTTGATGAGAAAAGATAGGAGGAGGATGAAATGGAGATTAAGCATCAACAAGAAATTGTTGGGCTGAATGGCCTGATTTTGTTTGATATGGCAACCAGGGAGAGAATAGGGCCCCTCAAAGATCAACAAAGTCATCTATGTGTGGAACCACAGGAGGTGGGAGAGATACCAAATGAATATTTGGTGACTAGTGCTGGGTCCACTTATGTCCACAAATGTTTGTCATTTATATAAATGATTTGGATGAGAATTTAGGAGGCATGTTTAGTTAGTTTGCAGATGACACCAAAACTGGTGGAACAGTGGACAGTGAAGAATGTTATCTGAGATTACAAAGGGATCTTGAACAATTGGGCCAATGTGCTGAGAAGTGGTAAATGGATTGTAATTTGAATAATTGCAAGGTATTGCATTTCGGATAAATGAACAAGGGCAGGACTTATACAATTAATGGTAGGGCTCTGAGTAATGTTGTCGAATAGAGAGACCCAGGGTTCAGGTAGATAGTTCTTTGAAAGTTGCATCACAGGTAGACAGGATGGTTAAGATGGCATTTAGCATGCTTGCCTTCATTGCTCAGACCATTGAATATAGGAATTGGGCATCTTATTGCAGTTGTACTGGACATTGGTGATACCACTTTGAGAGTACTGTGGAGTTTTGTAATTTTTGTCACCCTGCTATTGAAGGATATTATTAAATTGGTGAGGGTTCAGAAAAGATTTACAAGGATGTTGCCAAGACTGAAGGGTTTGGGTTATAAGGAGAGGCCGGATAGGCTGGGACTTTTCTCATCAGAGCTTAGAAGGTTAAGGGCTGACTTTATAGAGGTTTATAAAATCATGAGGGGCATAGATAAGGTGAATAGCAAAGGCCTTTTCCTTAGGGTAGGGGAGTTCAAAACTAGAGGGCATATTTTTAAGGTGAGAGGAGAAAGATTTAAAAGGGACCTGAGGGGTAACTGGTTCATTTGTGGAATTAATTGTCAGAGAAAGTGGTAGATGCAGGTACATTTACAACATTTAAAAGACATTTGGACAGGTACATAAGTATGAAAGGTTTAGAGGGATATGGGCCAAATGCAAGCAAGTGGGACTAGTTTAGTTTGGGAAACTTGGTCGGCATGATCAAGTTGGACTGAAGGTTCTGTTCCTGTACTGTATGAATCTATGACTCTATACCCTGAATAATTTGAAAGCATGTAGACAGAGGAAACCTTCCCCCATTTTCTTTAACAGTGATGATCCAAGTTGGAGAAAGCTCAGTTATCAACCAATTCCGTCCACTTTCCAATTGCAAACCCAGATGTGCTGAGTCTGATCCAGTTCTGGATTGAACTCTCTTTCAGTTTTAGCATATATTTTGCAAAAATACAAGATTTACTAACTTATATAATAACAAGATGATTAAAAAGAAGTAAAACAGAAAAAACAATCAAGATTGTACAGTACCTGAAATAAGCAACAATTTAGATTTATGTAACCCCCTTTAACACAGTTAGACAGCCTCAGTTACTTCACAGGAGTAAAATCAACCAAAAATTGACACAGAGCCAAAGAACTAGGGCAGGTGAAAAGATTAAAGATTGTGGGACGCAAGGTGTGTTAAAACCTCCTAGTGTGATAATAATGAACAACATTCCTCTGTTATTTCAATGAAAGCTTTGTACTGGTTGAAATAATGTCATATAGTCTGTTTTCAATCCTAAACAGATATTTCAAACTGAATGGCTGAAAATGGGCATCAATCACCAACTTTTTCACTGGGTATATTAATAAATTGATTACTTATCCGTGTGACTAAACTAACAAGTAAATTGTTGATGGATTGAAGCTCAGAGGAGAGGCAGATTCCTGCAGTTCTTGATTAGGTTTTGCGCAACATTTGCAGTGGCAGTAGAAGGTCTTGTGCCTGTGGG